TGATATGATGATGATTTACATATATATGACAACAATAAACTAGAGGGAGATTTTGTACACAAGTCGATTGCTTGGGTACCTCTGTCCTATTCGTGTTTCAACCATGTAGCAGTTGTGTTTGCATGACTGTGTTTCGGTTTGAAGGGTGGGATATGGCGTGAATTTACTGGGTACAGAGGAATAACACCTGAGTCCTCAGGAATGGCAACGCATGGAGGGTATCATGGGCGGAACAGTATACTCTGTTATGTCCACGGTACTGCTCATGTCTATAGGCGACGGTTACCATTTTCCATCAGGTGGGCCGTCAGTATGTTTGCCATTCTAAGTTGTAAAAAAAAAACTAAATAAAAGCTACCACATATTGTTAACGAAAATTGATTTAGTTATAGAAAAAATCACTAGTTTACTACAATCATTGAATTAATAATATCCGATAGTTTTACTTAAATAAATGGTGCTTTCTTATATCTTATATCGTCTAACAACTTTTTTTTTTACAATTAACTTCTTGTATTTTTTCGTCTTTACAAATATGCGTCTCTATTGCTCATTTTTCTAAGTCGGAATGTCATCCGCAATACAATGATACAGCAGAAAGGTAATACATACATCCCTCTCTCTCGCACACTGACCGTCTCTTTCACTTAAAGATGCGATCATGTATTCTTTTAAAATTATAGTTGCGTTACAATATATGCATACTTTTTCAACGTAAATAGTTCTACATATGTAAAATGGAAATAATAAGAGAATAATTTTTTTTTATACAACTTAGAATGGCAAACAAGCTGACGGCCCACCCGATGGAAAGTGGTAACCGTCGCCTATAGACATGAGCAGTACCATGGACATTACAAAGAAAACTGTTTCGCCCATGATACCCCCCATGCGTTGCCATTCCTGAGGACTCAGGTGTTATTTCTCTGTACCCTGTAAATTCACGCCATATCCCACCCTTCAAACCGAAACACAGCCATGCAAACACAGCTGCTTCACGGTAGAAATACGAATAGGACAGAGGTACCTAAGCAATCGACTTTTGTACAAAGTCTCCATCTGGTGATTCTATCGACTGAATAAGATTTCTTAAAATCTTTACAGAATTTACAACAAAATATAAACGAACTAAGAATTTTCTACTATTTGGAAGTAGCTTAAACAATAGAGACGCTTCAATTATTGACTGAAGCATTGGAACAGTGGCTCTTTCTTCTTCCCGGTCTAGTTATTACAATGGTGATCCGGTCTCCCCCGCTGCACTACCATTGTCTAGAGGTGGTCCGAATTTATACTTGTACTAAACTGAGTTTATTTAACTAGTCTATCATTTTGAGATTATTACTGTTTTTTGTCTTACTTTTAAATGACCAAAATATTTGCTGTGGATAATGGGGTAGTCAGAGGTATTTATTACATAGGCGATGTAAGATTCGATTGGACGAAATTTCTCTGACCTTATTAGATTCCGCTAAAATTTAGTCTTTTTATAAATAACTATTCAAGTTGTGAGCTTAGTTTTTTTTATACAACTTAGAATGACAAACAAGCTGATGGCCCACCTGATGGTAAGTGGTAACCGTCGCCTATAGACATGAGCAGTACCATGAACATAACAGAGTATACTGTTTCGCCAATAATACCCCCCATGTAAAATATTCGCCAATAATATCCCCATACCCTGGATATACTATGGAATTAATACATAAAAAAATAATTTTCCAAATCGGTTTATAACTGATGGACTTATGAGATAATAAAAATAGAAAAATGCAATCGAATTGGGCACCTTTTTTTTTTAAGTCGGTTGGAAACAAGGTTAATCGTGCATGCCTCGGCCGAGACCGGCGTCATAGCTCAATTAAAATATTATAGGATCGGATGCCATCTCTGTGCTGAAGTAGCAGACCGGTAAACCAATTCACGGTTCAGTGTACGCGCCATTCTCAGGCGCAAAATGTTCCGACTTTGAGGTGACTATGTCGCGCGCTCCACTTCCATTTTGGGTTAACGCCGGTCAATTTTATAAAATAGAACAAATACGCTCACTACTGCAATCCCTAATTGGGTGGTCGGAGGTGTTTGTCGAGTGTTGCCATCGTTGTAAACATAATTCTCGACATGTCCACATCTCGCCGAGCATATAGAATTCAAAATGACAGAAAGTGAACTTACCGCTATCACTCTGACAAATTTGGTTGTTTTAAAGCTTTATGTCACCGTAATTGCTAGCAATAAACGTTTTTTTTTTTTTTGTTTTTTTTTTAATGAATTTTAATGGAATGGTAGCCCCGCCTGCGCTGTCGGTATACACTGGCGGGTCACCAGTGAAGGATGATAGGTGAGGATGAAAGAGTAAGTCAGTATGCCCATCCTGACAAATACACCTGAAATTCAGCACGACGGTTTCCTGAGGGGACCACGTGGAGGTCGACCTGACGTGGTATATTGCTAGCAATGGGAGTGGTAGTGCGCATTACTAACAATCCCCCCCCCCCCACAATATACACTATTAGGTCGATCATCTTATGGTCACCTAGATGACTACCTATATAAATTCGTTACGATGGACCTACTGGCCTGTCATCGTGATTATCATCGTTCCTCACTGATGCCTCATTAGCGTATATTGATAGCGCAAGCAATGTGATAGGCAGAGAAATATTAAATTTTTATATAGTAAAAAATAAATTTAAAAACAGTGAAACAAACTGCAAGTATTTTAAATTATGTTATCGTACTCAATATAATGAAATTATATGAAGCAATTACAAACACAAACAGTGAATTATAAAAAGAATTCACCGGAAAATTTGTTGGTTTAATTTGGTGGCATGTTTCGAAGTGTAAAGCATAGACATCTGTTTTTTTTTTTATACAACTTAGAATGGCAAACAAGCTGACGGCCCACCTGATGGAAAGTGATAACCGTCGCCTATAGACATGAGCAGTATTATGTACATAACAGAGTATACTGTTTCGCCCATGACACCCCCCATGCGTTGCCATTCCTGAGGACTCAGGTGTTATTCCTCTGTACCCAGTAAATTCACGCCATATCCCATCCTTCAAACCGAAACACAGCCATGCAAACACAACTGCTTCACGGTTGAAGCACGAATGGGACAGAGGTACCCAAGCAATCGACTTTTGTACAAAGTCTCCCTCTGGTAACTATATTTTAACAATGTTAACTAGATCAAAGCCATATTTTTTGTATAGAGAATTCGTGTCACATCATTTACCACTTTAATACGGTGCTCTACGGATACGATTTGCATAAATTAATTGGCGGCACTCTCGAATTAATATGCTTATAAATCAAATCTATCAAAATATACAACGTGGCCGCTAAAATACGGGGCTTTCCTTTATTTTATTAGAAAATAACCAGTTTATGTTCGCTGCTGTATAATAATTTAATTAGGATTTATGGATGCGGCGAAATTTCACATACGACTGAAAAAAGTCGTGTTAAATATTTATTATATATATATATATATATATATATATATATATATATATATATATATATATATATATATATATATATATATAAATATTTAGTGTATATATATATATATATATATACACACTAGATCGTCTAGCTGATAACTCAGTAAAATAGTATAGTAGGCTCAAAAATAATTAATACATTTTCTATTCAATCTCAATTTAGTAAATCATTCAGTTATGATGAACGAAGGTAGTCGATCCTTGCTAATATCTATAAATTGACGGCGAGCTTGTCTGTTTGTTTCTATGGAATAACAGAGTATACTGTTTCGCCCATGATACTCCCCATGCGTTGCCATTCCTGAGGACTCAGGTGTTATTCCTCTGTACTCTTGGCGTTTTAACGGCCGTAACCGTACCATTATGAAATTTTGTATTAACTTACTATGATGTGATCAATCCAAAAATGCTCTCCAGTTACGTGGATAAATACGTGCGCATGCGCATAAATACTAATTTAGTAATTAATATATTAATTTACTGATTTTTTATTATGCAATTTAGAATGGTAACAAGCTGACAGCCTACCTGATGGAAAGTGATAACCGTCGCCTATAGATTTGAGCAGTACTATGGAATAACAGAGTATACTGTTTCGGACATGATACTCCCCATGCGTTGTCGTTCCTGAGGACTCAAGTACTATTCCTCTGTACCCAGTAAATTCATTACCATATACCACCCTTTAAACAGAAACACATCCATGCAAACAACTTTTTCACGGTAGAAACGCGAATAGGACCGAGGTGCCCAAGCAAACGACCTTTGTACAAAGTCTCCATCTGGTGATTTTTTTTATATCTGTACTTCATACAGTCTTTTTTTAAATAATAATAATTAGAGATGTGCCGATTAGCCGACTAGCCGACTAGTCGGCCAAGCCGATCACGGTTTCGGTGATTTCCGTAACACTTCGTTTACTGCTGATTCGCGCGTAAATCGCAAACGCCGCCCGCGAACGTGTCGGATCGTGTTTTGTTTACTTCGTATTGTTTTTTTCTCGTAAGGTTAAGTGTAACCAATGCCAAATAATAATAACTACAAGTATGAACAACCATATTAAGTACCGACATCTAACCCTGATACCTCAGTTAGGTTCCGCTAGTAAATGTTCGAACACAGTCGATTCCTCCCAATCGCAAAACAAAGCAGAAGAACTACCTACAATAGAACCTACTCCATCAACTTCGAAGGTCATTTTACTCATATGTCAGAAAAGCCAAGAAAATACTGAAGATAGTTTTGCTGTACAATGGTCACGTTAAGACTCAGGATCAAGAGATGATTACACTTGACAACCAGTCGTTATCAATTGTTGAAAATATCGCCTTTAGAAACTTGATGAGAAAAGTTAAACTACAATAAAACATATCGGACAGAAAATATTTCAAAATGTGTATGACTGATTGATTATGAAATAAAAATATTAATAATTTCAAGGGTTTTATTTAATATAATTCCAATAATAATAATAAACCGGATAGTCGGCGCCGAATAGTTGCCGACTAGTCGTCGACTATGACAGTGGCCGACTAGTCGTCGACTATGACAGTGGCCGACTAGTCGTCGACTATGACAATGGCCGACTAGTCGTCGACTATGACAGTGGCCGACTAGTCGTCGACTATGACAGTGGCCGACTAGTCGTCGACTATGACAGTGGCCGACTAGTCGTCGACTATGACAGTGGCCGGATAGTCGGCTTTACCTAACTAGTCGACATATCTCTAATAATAATATTTATTACCATTTTTACGAATATGGTATAATGATTATAATTATATTTTATGTTAATTTAATATTTTAATGTTAAACCGTGTCAATCGTTAAGTGTACATTGCTGAACATAGGCCTTTTGCATAAGGGACGATTTGTTAGTTGATCCCAACTTGGCTGGCGAGCAGGTAATCGCAGTAAGTCTTTGATAATATTTTATTTATTTATTTATTTATAAAAGACACACCAACAATACGCTCACAACAATTAAGCAGACAATGTACAATGTTATAAGTAAGTAAAAAGTGAAAAACTACTATTAAAAAATGCTTAAAATTAAGTTTACTTGAACAAAAACATCTCACTCCTCACTACCAAGCTTAAGGCCATATGAACACATCAATTAAATGTGTATACAGCTCTCACAGATAAGCGTCAATGTATACTAAGTAACAATTATACAATTAGAGAAGACCTAACTACCAATCTATGTTTTAAGAGAGATATTGCTGTCCATCTCTCGACCCTTAGTGGCCTTTTACAACACCGACGAAATTTTACGAAACCGACGACGAAAAAAATAACGGTGGCCTATTCTATGCCAAGACCACATGGAAATTTTAAGGTTATATTATGTCTATAACTAATATATAATATATGTGAGCATTCGGGGGGAAAGGGATTGTTAGCGATAGAGTTTGATAGCCCCATTGCTAGCAATACTCGTATGTCCTATTAGGTCGACCTCCACGTGGTACCCCTGGAAACCATCGTGAACAATTCTCGTTGAATTCGTCACGATGGGCTAACTGGCCTGCTTCATCCTCACCTGTCATTCTTCACTGGTGCCCCGCCAGTGTATACCGATAGCGCGGGTGGGGTTACCATTCCATTATTGCCCATTAAAAAAATGTGTGCATTTGTAATGTTAGTTTAATTTGTAAATACATACATACATACATATCTGTCACGCCCGTCTCCCATTAGGGTAGGTAGAAACAATGGAACGCCAAATGCTTCGATTCAAACACTATAATACTATAATAATAAATATACGAGTACAAATATGACATTGCATGTAAATAAATATAACATATTTTAAAACGGTTATTTGTTTAAAATTATTTTGTTTAGTATGCGTGCGACTGCCAACACTCGAAGATTGACTACTATTATTACTAAGAAACTTCTAGTATTAAGACTTCGAGTGTTGGCAGTCGCACATATACTAATGTTAGCGGAATTAAACAAAATAATTTTAAACAAATAACCAGTGATTTTCGATTTCGGATTTCTGTAAAATAATACTCGTACCTAATTTAAAATGTTTTAAAATGTACAAGTATTGTTGATAAAAAAAAATATTTAACTGGTCACTACCAACTGTTTCTTTTCCTAACTAGGATAATACCTTTACTTACACCACAAACATGTGTTTAATAACAAAAAAGACACCATATTTTACCAACAAACCATTATTAAAAGAAAAAAGGGAAACATGTGTAAATTTAAGCGTGAAAGTGGAAGAGAATAAGTGTTTTGTGCAACTAATAATTTGTTTAAAAACGATAATTATTTTTTTGTATAAAAGAAAGACCAGTGAAGAAAGAATGATTCGTTTCGTTCATTTGTAAAATTGCTAAAATGAGCAATGCGGCCACCACGTGTCCACATCGTTTGTATTGTATCGAGAAATTAGTAAAGGAACAAAATACTTGATAATAGATTTGTCGTTAAAGGAATAAAACTTGTTTTTTTTTTTAATATACTTATATTAGTAATTTACATATAATATAATATTATTTTTATACCTATCTCAGGCGCCAGTCTCTCACAATTATATTTATAATTTGATTACTTTAATATAAACATGTGTCATTGTATTTCACTGTGATGAATTGTGAAGAGAAAATAAATCTATTTATTATTATTAATGTTGACACGTTAATGTGTAAAGATTCTAAAATCACAGTAAATCGGTACGGCTTTGCGTATCTTCAAATGGTTTTTAAAATTTATGTCCAAATATGAATTACCAATAATTACTTTATTGGTAATTCATATTTGGACATAAATTTTATATTATATATATTACTTTACTAGTTTATAAGTATATATACTTGTAAACTAGTTATGCCCGCTACTTCGTCCACATGAGAATAGAAATAACTAACATCATCTTGGGTATTCTTTATCTACATATTTTATGTACTAAATCACTTATAATATATATATATTAGGTTTAGATTATATAGATAGTGCCTCGAGCTTTAAAAATCGGTCAACTTTTCGTCAGCTAATTGTCAATTATTGGCTGACAAAAAAAAATAATTGTCAAACATTATAAGACGAAAAATAAAACTAATAAAGAAATCACTTATAACTGGTAACTATAAATATATAAATAAATGTTCACATTTTGTTCGCGCCATTTTTAGTGTTGCAAGTAGGTTTGGGAAAAAATTCCCCACACAAGTGAATTAAAATTTCCGAAATTAGGTGGATTGTTTTCAATAACAATTGAATTGATTTTAATTATTATTTGTGTTGTGTGCTATTTTGTTTACAAAATATAAATATAATATTTATATAGGTAAGTACATAGAGATATTATTGAATAGGTATTATGCAGACTTTGTTATTTGACCGATTGTTTTTTAAATAAAAATCTAAAAATTCGTATACACTTTAAATATGGATCCGGTGTCAGAATTAATAAAAATGGCCGCTATTTTTATTTTTCTTATTTGACCAGTTGCATTCAGAATCGATATCAAGTGATCCTTATACCCTTCAAATATGGATTTGATGTCAAAATTTATCATATTACCGCCATTTTTATTTAAAGTTATAAAAGTATTTATTTGAATGAAGGTTAACAAAATAGTATTAAGAAATTAATCACAGATAAAATACATTTAAATATTTTTTACATTTAGTCAACTTACAATTAATTATTCATTCTCATAGGTAGGTATTTCCAAAAACTAGCAAAATAAAAAATTTGGCTATATTTATAGTATACATGGATCCACAATTAGGTACCTGTTTCCAACCTTCACTTTAAAATTTTACTCTTTTTTAAAGCAATATAAATAAAGCTAAATATTATAAAGGGTTATTTATTTATTTATTTATTTTTATTTATTCATAGGAAAACCAGGGTTATACCAGAGCAAAAAGATACAGTTTAGGATCACACAATAAGCCACTAATAGGTTTTCACAAATAACAACAATATAGGTAAAAGGCGCTGTACACAAAGCAACAAAAATAGGAGTTAACAAATAAAAATAAAATAAAAATAAAAAAGTTAAAAAATAAAAATACGAACAAACAAGAGGAACGAAAAAAAAATGATGAATAAAATACAAAGTAAAAATTAATTACAAGTGTTTTATTAAAATATCCATACAATAGTTATTCAAACTGACTATGAATAAAAAATTGCCTACTTAGTTGGCCTCTCACTGATATTATGTTTTTCGAAAATAGATCTATATTAAGACTTTTAGAAATAGTATTATCCTAATAATATTTTAAGGTACGACCTTCACCTATTTATCTTATTCTAAAGTAATAATTTCTAATCTGGTAACACTATTATGTACACAATTTTATGAAAAAGATGACTCGCTTTTTTGAAGCACTTTTATGGAGACCAAAGATTTCAGAATAGAATAAATGGAATGCATAATTCGCATAGTGTTGCTCGTTGTGTTTATGACATTGCCAATGCGTTAGAGAGGGATAGATATATAAAAACGCATCTGCCTTTCGACTAGTCCGTAGAAGTCAAATTCATCAAGATATGTCACTTAATTTTATTGGCCGTATAACCCTACCAAATTCAGATACAACCTGCTTGCATACTTTCTAAATAAACTGTGTCGAATATATAATTTAGTAATGTAAAATTTGTCATTGACAAATAATTGATATATCAAACATTTTCTATACACTAGCCTGCTATGAATTGAGAAAAATAACAACTGATGGTATATTTGGTATCTTTTGTCCTCTTTCTACTAATTATATTTGCATAAGAAGAAAGGAGGCAACCGTATGATTTACAGTTTTTATTTTATCATCCCTTCTATGTAATTCCTTAGACGGAGACACTTTATTTATATATTATAATTCAAGATATTTTTTTTAATGGATGATAATGGAATGGTAACCCGCGCTATCGGTATACACCGGCGGGGCACCAGTGAAGGATGATAGGTGAGGATGAAGCAGGTCAGTTAGCCCATCGTGACGAATTCAACGAGAATTGTTCACGATGTTTTCCAAGGGGAACCAAGTGGAGGTTGACCTAATAAGGCATATTGCTAGCAATGGAGCTGTCAAACTGCATTGCTAACCATCCCTTTCCCCCCTAATTCAAGATATTAAGTTATACCAAAATGTACATAGTACACTTTGTTTTATTTCTTGATTAACATTCTAGTCCGCGATTAGAGCGATTTTTATTAGTAATCAATCAGTATGTATTAAAAATTATTTATTTATTTATTTATTTAACTCTTTATTGCACCATAAATAAAAATATACAATGACAAGTGAATAATTCAAATGAAATACAGTAACATAAATACAGATTGAAATATACACATAAAGGTACAAAAGGCGGTCTTATCGCTAGGGCAATCTCTTACAGACAACCTTTAGTTAAGGGAGAACAGATAGAAATGGGCAGGTGGCGCAAGAGTGAATCAACAATTTTCGTGTACAAAATAAAAAATTATTCAATTGTTTCTGTCAACGATGCCATACTTCAATAATTAGAATTGACACTCTTAAGCTGAAATAATAATACAAGTTGAAACTTTAACAACATTTAATTATAATTAAATAAAAAACGGAACCCTAATAGGATCTTACCAGAGGGAGACTTTGTACAAAAGTCGATTGCTTGAGCACCTCTGTCCCATTCGTGTTTCAACCGTGAAGCAGTTGTGTTTGCATGGCTGTGTTTCGGTTTGAAGGGTGGGATATGGCAGTGAATTTACAGGGTACAGAGGAATAACACCTTAATCCTCAGGAATGGCAACGCATGGGTGGTATCACGGGCGAAACAGTATACTCTGTTATGTCCACGGTACTGCTCATGTCTATAGGCGACGGTTACCACTTTCCATCAGGTGGACCGTCAGCTTGTTTGCCATTCTAAGTTGCATAAAAAAAAATTAACATCGATATTATTCCAATTCATTACTGATTTGAGATGAAAAACGAGCAATCCACGCGACTGGTTAGATCTGGAGAGTTCGCGCTTGGCCGCTCACGTGGTATGTTGTTTAATAACCCTTGTATATGCACTTATTACGCTATTTGCTATTCCTTACTATTGTATGAAATGTGAAGAGGAAAGAACTAGACTTCATTTATTATAATTTAAATAATGTAATTCATTCGATTTTAAAATATACGAATAATTATCATTACCTTATCAGCATTTTACTGTCCACTGCTGGACGTAAGTCTCCCACTTGGATATATATTTCTTTATATTGCTATTTAGGTATAAAAATTTTTTTGGATCCTGGTTTGCCTTTGTTAAATAATTTATTATTATTATTATTGCTTATGATAAATATATAAGAAATTGGACATTTGGAACAACTTTTTGTATTTAAAAAATAAAACATTTTATTTTACAGATTAATATAGGTATGAACAGTATCGTATCAGCTCTTCTGTCCTGTACTGTCCACTGCTAAACATGAGGCTTAACCATGAGGGGAGTTTTGACAGTAATTGCCACGCTAAGCCAGCGGAGTAGCAACCGCAGTTAGGTTGAGCTCGGAATGAGCTCCCTGCCGAGGTTTTCCCAAGAGCCTACAGCATGGGGTTCTTCAAAAGGGGGGTAAAGAGGTTTCTTCAGGGTCGGCAACGCGCGCGTAATACCTCTGGTATTGCAGGTGTTCATAGGCTACGGTAACCACTTACCATCAGGTGGGCCGTACGCTTGTTTGCCACCTCAGTGGTATAACAAAAAAAGTTTTAGAGATGTTTTAAAACAGTCGCTGTTGCTTACTCGCCTCTTACGACATCGATGGCCTATCCTATGCCGGGATCACACGACACTCGTCTTAACAAAGTTTAAAATCAGCCGTATATAATCTTATGGGGGAATCAATAAAGCATATCTACTATCTATCTATCTTTATTTCCGTTTATCCTTGAATGTTTTTTTTTTTTAACCGGCAAAAACTAAATTGGTTTACTCAACTGTACCCTTGCTCTTTGGCAAGGGTCCGTTAGCGGTGGAAGTGTCCACCGTCACGGTTCAAAAATGGTAAACTGTGAACAAACAAACAACATTTTTTAGCCACAGAAGAAAGGTACCTTAACCATTGTGATTACGGTAAGTAAGTTGTAAACTTTATTGCACCCGTTCACTAGTTACAGCTAAATTCTGCTCGGGTTGGCGGCGTACTTTGACTGTAATGTTTGGTAACAAATATGTATATAAACTACAAAATTTTTTTACAAAAATCAATGTTGGTGCATCCTCGTGATATAGTCACAGAATATTTGAAATTAGACAAGTAGGGATGGTAGATAGACGTAAATTGTATGTTTAATAGCAACTGAAGATTTCCTGTAATAGAATATTAGAAGTAATACAAAAGTCGATTGCTTGGGCACCTCTGTCCCATTCGTGTTTCAACCATGAAGCAGTTGTGTTTACATGGCTGTGTTTCGGTTTGAAAGGTGGGACATGGCGTGAATTTACTGGGTACAGAGGAATAACACCTGAGTCCTCAGGAATGGCAACACATGGGGGGTATCATGGGCGAAACAGTATACTCTGTTATGTCCATGGTACTGCTCATGTCTATAGGTGACGGTTACCACTTTCACTTTACATCAGGTAGGCCGGGCAGCTTGTTTGCCATTCTAAGTCGTATAAAATATATATATATATATATATATATATATATATATATATATATAGAGGTACTAGAGGAGGAACATTCTTCTAATATTTTAGTAAGTGTGCTGAAGTCGATATTTGATGAGTGGCAAATTACAGAAAAAATTGTGACAATAGTATTCGATAATGCTCCGAATATAAAGAAAGTTATTTCTGAATATTTAAGTAAGAGGAACCGCTGCTGTGTAGCTCACACTTTGAACTTGGCTATCACTGAATATAAGAAAGCTAACCTTTAATTTATGGAAATTATAAATAAATGCCAATCCATAGTCACATATTTCAAACAAAGCTACAAAGCGTCTTACAAACTTATGGAAATGCAACGTACAATGGATATGGAATGTATCAAATTAAAACAAGATGTCCCAACACGCTGGGATTCTACATACTTAATGCTAGATAGAATGCTCAAAATTAAAACTGCTTTATCAGCAATTATGTATTCTTGGTTCACCAAATAATTTACAAAACTTTGAATGGGAAGTGGTTCACGAATGGGTAGATCTTTTAAGACCTCTTGAAAAACTTACTGCAGCCATATCCGGAGAGAAATATCCAACATTGTCTTCAGTGATTCCTTTGATTAGAAATGTTCAAGAATTAAAAGAATCTTTATTAGATGCTGTTGATAAATGGTTAAGTATTTTAGAATCAAACAAAACTGCAGCTAAATCTACCTACTTGGATTCGAGATTTAAGAAAATTGGTTTTTGCGTAGAATCTAATGCTGATAGGGCTATACAATCCGTTATTGGTGAAATTGAATCTACCTATATATCCACAAATTTAGATAATATCAGAACAGAATCGGAGTCTTCATCGTCAAACCGCAACCAGAAAATAAGGACGTAAATGATTTATGGGAGTGTTTTGATGCAAAACTTTCGGAACGTACTTCAAATCAAACATCATTAGCCTCGGCTATTATCATGACGAAACAATACAATTTTTTTTTTTGAGAAAACGAATACATATATTCTATGTAAAATTAATATTATTTTATTCGTTTTAAAATTTTGGTCACTCGAGTTTTATATTCCGAGTGACTCGAGTCAATAAAAATCACTCGAGTTTTATCTTCACTCTAGTGGCATTCGAGTGAGTAAGTTATCAGTACCGAGTGACTCGAGTGAAAAAAAATCTCTCGAGTCCCATCACTAAGCCAAACAATATAATATTTTACTAATCTAGCGAAAGATGCTCAGACGTAGTGTTGCCATCACCTAAATTGCCGACACCGAATAAACACGGCCAAAATCCCGGTTGAATCCCGTTTGAGCGAAGTATTATATGATTGTTTCCACGGACACTTCTGAAAAAATATTTTTCGTAACAAACGTAAAAATATTGTTATATAAACACAGGGTTGTTGTGGATGAATTTGTAACGTAGATTCACTTCAACTGATATCCTACCTACCTTTAACACCTACCTATAACAAAAAAAATGTATTTGCCCTGTCAACAAAAACTTTTGAGTATAAATTAAATTTGTATCCTTATTTAAGGAATAAATTAGATTTGCATGCCTACATTTTTAAGGCAATTAAACAGATGCCAAAAAGTTTTGTCACATGGCCCTTATAATGTCAAATGTCTGTTTAAAGCAAATAAATATTTCATTTCATTTCATTTCATTTCATTTCATTTCGTTTAATTTCGTTTCATTTCGTTTCATTTCGTTTCATTTCGTTTCATTTCGTTTCATTTCGTTTCATTTCATTTCATTTCATTGAAAAACTACTGCCGGACGGCCCCCGGACGCCCTTCAAACTAGGACAAATCCGGGAAATTCCGGACGGATAGCAGTCTTATTCAGAGGCATTGCTCACACTAATATAAAGAAGTAATTACTAAGAATAATTTAGAGTTAAATGTTTTATTTATTACGTTATTTAACTTTTTATTTCACCAGAAACATATAAAATGACAAACAATTCAAGTTAAATACAGTAATATAAAAAACACATTAAAATATATACATAAAGTACCAAAAGGCGGTCTTATCGCTAGGGCAATCTCTTACAGACAACCTTTGGTTAAAGGAGAATTAATATTTTTTTTTCTCTTAATATTTTTTTTAATACAACTTACAATGGCAAACAAGCTGCTGGCCCGCCTAATAGAAAGTGGTAACCGTCGCCTATAGACATGAGCAGTACCATGGACATAACAGAGTATACTGTTTCGCCCATGATACCACCCATGCATTGCCATTCCTGAGGACTCGGGTGTTATTCCTCTGTACCCTGTAAATTCACGCCATATCCCACCCTTCAAACCGAAACACAGCCATGCAAACACAACTGCTTTACGGTTGATACACGAATGGGACAGAGGTACCCAAGCAAATGACTTTTGTACAAAGTCTCCCAATAAAGAAAATACTACAATACTACATAATTGTGTCCTGAACAATGTTGTTTCATTTAAAATTTCATATCAGCACCTAGATCTTGGATCTAGTCAAGTCGGCCACCCTTGATATATAGGATGTAAAGGTTTCTGAAAACTGTATAAAAATTCTTATTTGTTTACACATTATTGTACATGATAATAAAACACACAAAAACATAAGACAAGAAAGCAAATATGCAAAGGCGTGTTTACCTCAGTAAAAGTTCGGCAACCCTAAAATGGATAGAAGCATTTTCTACTTTTCATTTTTATTTATTTTTTTATTTATTTATTCATAGGAAAACCAGGGCTATATTAGAGCAAAAAAGAAAAAATACAGTTTAGGATCACAAAATAAGCCACTAATAGGTAACAAGGCGCTGTACACAAAGAAACAAAAATAGGAGTTAACAAAAAAAGTGAAGTCAAATAAAAGCTTGTAAAAAAAATGAACAAACCAAAACGAAAAAAAAATGAATAAAAATACAAAGTAAAAATTAATTACAAGTATTTTACTAAAATATGGCGTTCTTGTCCATACAATAGCTATTCAAATTTACTATGAATAAAAAATTGCCTACTCAGTTGGTCTCTCACTGATATTATGTTTTTCGTTATTCAACGAAAATGAAATTACGTTATTAATTCATACATCTTCTTCCAGCCAGCTCTATCCCACGCCGTATCTTTGACCTCCTTATACGACATGACACCTAGTGTTTCTTTTATCTGTCCCATGTAGTGCATCAATATTTTATATTTTTATTTATTAATTTTTATAAGAGATATTGTAAGAGAGTCTTAATACCTTATTATTTATACAAAATTGCCTATAGAAGTACAGACTATGTACAAGAAAAACGCTAGAAATTTTGAGTTTAAATTAAAAAATATTTCTTACAATTTATTGAATTGCTCTCCGGTGTAAATTCAATATGTAATTAATTTAAATACTTTCAGCAACGAGAAAGGAAAGGATGGCCTATTCTACGCCAGGACCTACATAGTTATATTATATACTAGCAATATTTTGTGGTTTTAACCACGAAAATTAGTATATAAACTATTTTTTATGCAACTTATAATGGCAAACAAGCTGACGCCCCACCTGATGGAAAGTGGTAGCCGTCGCCTATATACATAAGCAGTGCTGACATAACAGAGTATACTATTTTGTCCATAATACCCCCATGCATTGCACTTCCTCAGGATTCAGGTGTTATTTCTCTGTACCCTGTAAATTCACTACCATATCCCACCCTTCAAACCGAAACACAGCCATATCATATATTACACTTACAGAACTGCTTTACGGTAGAAACACGAATGGGACAGAGGTACCCAAGCAATCGACTTTTGTACAAAGTCTCCGTCTGGTAAAAGTAAACAGTTTCGCAATCAATTCGTGATCTTTAGTCATGAGCGACTATGACGCGAGCACGAGCCTTACTGCGCGCCTCAGCTGAGCTCGAGCTGTAGGCGCTTGCGGCACCGTCACAGATAAGAAAGACGGAGTTCGGAACTCTTCGGGTATGATCGGTTCCACTTCGTCTGTCATGTTATTGTCACTAGTTTACCCCTAAAGTCGTTTTAAATCGAATGAAACGTGACCTCTAAGAGGTAGCAGCTCTAAATGTAAACACACTACCTACATTTTAACTTAACCAACTGCGATTAAAATTAAACGATTCACAATTACATACCAAGGCTCCTAGTCGGGCATTCCTACAATCTACGCGGTGCTCAGCCAGGTCGGAAGCGGCAAGCGACCTAGAAATTTCAATCCGTCTAATCACCTGCACTCAAGCTAGTTTTTAATACTTAGGCACAGTCTAGAACAGCCTTTCCCAAAGTGGGCGATAACGCCCCCTTGTGGGCGCTGCAAGCCTAAAGAGGGGCCGGTATGAGACCCAGAAAAAAGTGGGGACGTTGTGTAAAGGCCTGGGGGGGGTGATTTGTTGATCTTGAAGTAATAGTGGTTTTTGTGTAGGTAAAAAAATGGGGGCGCTAAAAATAATGTATTCTCAGAGTGGGCAGTAGACAAAATAAGTTTGGGAACCGCCAACCTAGAAGATTGCTAGCCCGCATCTACCACGTCATTGGCTGACCTCTGTAATGGTTTAATTGATACACGTGAGTAGGTTCCAAGATTTTCAAAATTACTTTTGGACAGTTGTATAACTAGACCATTAATTTCTTTAGTTAACTTTTATGAGATCAACGGGAAAGGAAGGAGTAGGCTCATTCTATGATGGGGCCATACGACGAACTTAACGGTCAAGGTATGGGCAGCAGCGTCCCCCTTGAAACATCATTAAAATCTAACTGCGGTTGCAAATCCGCCTGGCAAGCGTGACAACTCCTGGCAAAATCTCCCAAGGGGGAGGCTTGTGTTCACCAGTGGACAGTTAAAAGCATTAATAACGCCACAGATATACATTTTTTTTTGTGATACGTTGTTATTTTCAATAACTCCAAATTCAAATTCAAATAATCTTTATTCAAATGGCTCAAAATCTCCAAATTCAAATCCATCTTTATTAAAATATACTTGTTTACAAGCACTTTTAAATCGTCATTTTTTTAATCTACTGCAAGGTTCGAAAAGTTGTTATCTATTGAGAAAACTATGCAAGAAACTGAACATACGAGGGGGGGTCAAAAAGTTCGCGGAATGGAGGGGTTGGTGGGGGTTGGTTAACTCGTCCAGGTAGTCACTTATTAAGCACTTCATTAAGAGTATATATACCAAGTTCGAACCAAATCGGGTCATTAACTTTTAAATTATCGACCTGTAAGCAAGTGAATCGGGAAGAAGTCAGCAATACCTGAAGTCAGAAAAATATATTAAGGTTAAAGGAGAATATATTGAAAAAAAAAATTGTTTCATGATTAACTTCAACCCCCTTCCCCCTCATTTCGCGAACTTTTTGACCTCCCCTCGTACAACATACCAGAGGGAAACATTGTACAAAAGTCGTTTGCTTGGACACCTCTGTCTCATTCGTGTTTCAACAGTAAAGCAGTTGTGTTTGCATGGCTGTGTTTCAGTTTGAAGGGTGGGATATGGCAGTGAATTTATAGGGTACAGAGTAGTAACATCTGAGTCCTCAAGAATGGCAACGCACGGGGGGTATCATAGGCGAAAGAGTATACTCTGTTATGTCCATGATACTGCTCATGTTTATAGGCGACGATTACCACTTTCCATTAGGTGGGCCGTCAGCTTGTTTGCCATTCTAAGTTGCATAAAAAAGGACAGATTTCTACTCGCGGGAGAAGCTGCAAGATATATTGCTAGTTATATATATAATAATCGACTCAACTAATTAAAATATAATCCCATCAGTATCTCGAGTCGTAAATTTTGTTTAATGAAGCTTTTTCTAATGCATTTAGGTTTCGGACGCTCGTTTGACTTGTCTAAATGTTCCTAGATTGGGACCGGAAATATCT